GCCAGTGTGCATTAGAGAGAGGTAGAGGCTGCAGCATCTGGGTTTCTGCAGGCTTCCAAAGTAATCTAGTGAAAGGTCATGTTTCAGTCGTTACCACCTTGAACTGGCAGGAGAGCACACCACTTTGAATTGATGCTGACATCAAGGGTGAGGTCCTTGCACATCTCTCCTGCTGGTGGGGAAATCTCAAAGGGGCCCATCCTTGTCTCTGCCATCAAAATCAGGTGCTGCATTTAAATCAGACTGGAGGCTGCCCAAGGGCCAATGTGCCTGACTAGCAGTGATTCACTTTCAAAAGAATCAACCTCTTTCTCTGTGCCAAAAATAAAACAGAAGGAAGAGCAATAGGCAACTATAGCAGTAAAATATTTGTATTACCTGCTAAAGAAATTGTGGGTCTTCAGCGTTCTAACTCTCTAATAAAAAATTCATAAAAAAACCCCTTACTGAGTGATCTTGTAATGTGAAAATCTACAACAGATGTCATGTAATATCATGATGAAGTCAAAATATTACTCAGGCCCTGTAGGCGCTCAGTACTTCTCATTTCAGAAGGAAACAAAAGTGAATTTCCAATTATGGTGAAGTTTGAGGAACGCTGTGGAAGAATCACTGGCTTCAGAAGTGGGGTTAAAAAGAATGCAGTAAACGTTTTAGTATACTTTAGTGTTAGAAACCGGTAGGAGTAGAGATAGCTACAAAAGGCTTTCTCATGCTTTGCAGTGGTTTATCTTTTCAAAAAACATTGTGCAGTGTTTAAAAATGGGATGGTTGTAAATTAACAGCAAAACTGCACGTTTATTAGTAGTAGCTTCATTTGGCAAGAGGCTGAAATGTGATTTTCCTCCCCCATATTGCATGAGTATCTAATAAAGAGCTGCAGAAGACAGGGTACAGGCTTGTGAGCCTATCATTTATTTAGCGAAGGGAAACCGGTGGCTTTTCCATGGAATGATCCTTACGTCTGCAACACTCTCTTGCTTACTATTTTTTTTTTTTCTTTCCTCCATCCTGGCTATGGAAGCTAAGAACTAGGCCCTGCTTCAAATTTCAGATGTGCGGTAGCTAATTACAGTATACATAATCTTAATAAAGAAGTGTCATTAGTTACAAAATATGTTTACTCTAGACTTTCATGGGTAGAAGATGGAGAGTCCAGGCTGCAGAGGGCTGTTGCCAACTGGACGGCTCAGGCTGTGATTTTGTCAATTACTGTGTTTTCTATTTGTGTACCTACAAAGCAGATGATGAAATTTGTCCATGTCCTAATTGCCTTGAGCTTTTAGCAAATATTTATGGACTATGTGCAGACTTTCAGGAGATGAGTAATTAAATTTCTACATCTTGTTCAGTGTGTTTTGTAGAATCTTCTCTCTTCCTGCTTTAAACTGCTTCCTCTTTCAGTCTTGAAAGCACTTTCCAGTAGAATTGTTGAAATTTAGAACAATTTATGCTAATGGTAGCACATTAACCTCATGTTAAGCTTTGCTCCATCTTCCTCACTTCAGCTTATCCTCATGTTTTGTTCCATAACACCTCTTGACATTTTAAGATGAACTGTAGATACTAAAGATTATTAAATTGCTCCCACTTGGATAAATGGGAGCTTTGCCGTTCTTTCCTCTGGAAATAGGATCAGGACCCAGATAGATGCATGTAATGTCATGTCAGACACGCTAATACGCTTTCTGCCTGAACAAACAGGACTTGAAGCACTTCTGAAGCTTGCCCTAGTTCTCTGCGACAAGCATGCTACTTGATCAACTGGCAACTGAAACTTTCCAGTACACTACCATGATCTTCACATTAATTTGCTGGAAACAAAACCAGCAACCAGGCAACAGGATTGACCAAAAGACTCCCAGTCACAGGTGCTAAATCACACCTGAGTATAGGTGGAAATGCATTACATCCACATAAGCACCCAAGGAACTCATAATGAGCTGGTGCTGTCACCGTAACAAACTAATGCCCAAAGACAGCTTACAGAGGTGGCCAGAGCTCTTGTTGTTTAGGGTCTACAGGCACAATAAATATTACTGTGATTTTGATTTAAATTCTATTTAAGCTTTGTTTAAATGGTCATCGCAGAGGTGGGGAAAAAAAACCCAACCTAAAGTAAGCGCAAGACTTTATCAAGATCTTGGTTTTCTGGAGTACTATATGTAACTCTCAATTATTCCTGATTACATGTTAAAACTACCCTTCTCTCAGCTCAGAATCAGCAACAGGATTTTCAAAGGAAAAGTCCATGTCATGGACCATCTCAAGATTTTATTTATCTGACTTTTGCCGCACCAGGAAGTGCACTCTGCAGTACTGCAGTCTTAAAAACACAGTTACGCATGGGGGTTTTGTGTGCCCAGGCACTAAGTCCTGGACTCCAGTGACTTGAAAAAAGTCATCTCTTTGACCGAAGCAGCTCAGCAGACACCTGAAAGTACCTGGCAGATTGTGGCAGTGTCTGAACTAACTTGGGCATCTTGCAAGTTGCAAAACATGTGTCATCCGTACCGCAGCATCCTCACCTTCAGATTTTTGTGACAGCTAAATCAGCAGCCGAATTCAGAAGACTAAGTAAACGGAGGATTAATTTGTATTTTGGGTGTAGAGATGGCATACTGCCCTGCCAGTGCCCTACTAACACTCCTCCAAGACACTTCAATGTAGGCTAATAGCAGCAAAGGCAAATGGAGCTGACAAGATTGGCGGTTTGCCCCAGACCTGTTTTTCAATAAAGCTAGGATACAGCTTCATTCTCTGTTTCATCCCATTCCTGCCATTTACCTTAAGACAACCAAAGTGATGCACTTTCTATGAAAGCAAACTCCGAGGACCTACCCCCAACAGACCACATGCTTTTAACTTTACTAGATAAGCAGAGTAGGATGAGAAAGTGCAGCTTGTGGCATCGTATCCTGCCTGTCCTGTCACAAATTGACCAGCTCTGTTGGTAGAAAACACGGTCATGTTTGTCTATTCTAGCTTGAATCCACCGGATTACTTAAAAGCAGCTTAAACTTGCTTGTTTTGACCCCTCGAAGGCCAGCCACTGCAGGTCCTATTTCCAGCCAGGTTCATAGGAGAGGTATTTTCATTGGTATGAACAGCAGCACAAAGAAAAAACAAGTAAATGCCTCTGTCCATTGAGCGGTGACCCTGCT